GGATCCTGAAATCAACCATCTCACGATCACTGCTTCCCAGGTTGTTACCCACCTCTACTTCCCCTATTAGCTCCTCCCTGTTTGTGAGCAGCAGGTCAAGATGCACACAGCCTCTGGTCAGATCCTGCAGCACTTGTACCAAGAAATTATCCGCAGCATTCTCCAAAAACTTCCTGGATTTTCTGTGTACTGCTATATTGGTCTGCCAACAGATGTCAGGGTGATGAAAGTCCTCCATGAGAACCAGATCCTGTGATCCGGAAACTTCTCTTAGTTGTCTGAAGAAAGCCTCATTTACCTCATCCACCTGATTCAGCAGCCTGTAGCAAACACCAACCACAATCTGTTGCTTACACTTCTAAACTTGACCCATAGACTCTCAACAGGCTTTTCTCCGTCTATATACTTGAGTTCTGAGCAATCAGCTTCCTCCTTTTCTCCCCTGCCTGTTCCTGAACAGTCTATACCCTTCCATGACAGCGCTCCAGTCATGCGAGTCATCCCACCAAGTCTCTGTTATCCCAATTAAATCATATTTCTTGGTCTGGGCCAGGGCCTCCAGTTCTTCCTGTTTGTTGCCCAGGCTTCTCGCATTAGTGTACAAACACTTCAGGTAACCAGTTGATCGTCCTATCTTCATCCTCGGTGCTGGCGGCGTGGGGCTGGATGGTCCATCGCTCCTGGCTGGTCCCGCTCTAGAGAACACAGAAGACAGAGAGGTGGTCAGTCATTCCTGCACACAGAGTCCCTGAGCCCTGTGCTCTCTCTTCTATGACCCTAACGTTACACCACAAACTGTTGCTAGGGCCCAGTCGATACCTATGTGTGACTAGTTCAAAATCCTGGGAGTGAAGTGATCCTCCATCGATTGTAACACTGGGACACATCACTGTGAATGAAGACTCTTTGTCTCTGTCCTAGCCATTTGGCATGCTGTGTCTGTCCGTCTAGAACTGTGTACACTCCCTCCCAAAGGTAGAGCACATGGCTTCTACTCTTCTCACTGTGAGCATACACCATGGCTGTGTCTAGACTGGCCAGTTTTTCCAGAAAATCAGCCACTTTTCTGGAAAAACTTGCCAACTGTCTACACTGGCCGCTTGAATTTCAGCAAAAGCACTGACGATCTCATGTAAGATTGTCAGTGTTCTTGCGGAAATACTATGCTGCTCCCGTTCGGGCAAAAGGGCCAGTGTAGACAGCCCAGGTTTGTTTTCTGCAAAAAAGCCCCGATCGTGAAAATGGCGATCGGGGCTTTTTTGCGGAAAAGCGCGTCTAGATTGGCATGGATGCTTTTCCATGAAAAGTGCTTTTGCTGAAAAGCATCCGTACCAATCTAGACGCTCTATTCCACAAATGCTTTTAACGGAAAACTTTTCCGTTAAAAGCATTTCCGGAAAATCATGCCAGTCTAGACGTAGCCCATGATGCTGTTTGAGTACACAGCCACATTGCATGGGAGCAAGTGTGGCAGATGAGGTCTGGGTTCTCCCACTACTGTCATTGATTTCCTCGGAGATGGAGCCAGGGCTACTGGGAGTGTACTGTCCCTGCAGCAAGACTCAGTGGTCCAGGCCCGGGGTGCCTGTTTCCCCGTTCCCCCTTCCCCCCAGCCCTTGGACAAGTAGCCCAGGGAAGTGTGTGGCCGCAGTGGAGGGATTACCTCAGGGGCAGTAAACGGGCCAGGAGCAGCTTAGGGGCTGTTCTCGCAGGTCTGGCTCACTGTGCTTTTTCCAGGAGAAGCTGCTGTGTCACACAGGCAGGCATGGCTGCAAACTGTATGCGGCACTCTTTGAGATGTGTGGGGTCTGGCCTGCACCCTTGGGGCTTGGCTGCTTCCAACCGGCATCCCTCCTCCCTCCCCTGGGCATGATGTGTGTGAACAGCAGGGTCACAGGCATGCCTTGGAGCTGCCTACTGCATCTATGTGCCACAAAGTCAGATTGCACAAGGTTGCATGTGCTGCATACTGCTGCACGGCATGCAGTTGGGACTGCGCAAGTGACAAACCCGCCACCCCCGCCCTTGCAAGTGACAACTGGTACATTCACCAGAGGATCCATGGCTGGTCTCTGACAAGGCCCGGGAGACATCCTGGCTGCTGGGCACTGGCTCCAGGTGGAGGGTGACGGTGGCCGGACAGTCCTCTCCCTCATCCTCAGAGGCGCTGGTCAGGTCACCCTCCTCCTCCAGATCAGGTGGCCTGACCACTGAGGTGCACAGACCAGTGTCCACCTTGGGTGATGGCCCTTCCACCTGCCTACATTTTATTTATGTTGTGTCTTCAAGATAAAATTCTCATTGATTAAATGTAATTCAGCTGGATTTTAAGGCCTAATATTGTACTCCGGAATGGGGATGTTAATGGCAACTTCGTTAACTTATCGGTTAATGGTCCTGATTAACTGCAGCACCACTCCCCCCTTCCTCTCCACCCCCCTTACACACACACCTCATGCTCTCTGCATTTAAAATTTGGACTGGCAGGCTGGTTCAGTCCCAGCCCACTGGTTCAAGTTTTAAATGAAGAGTGTTCAGGAGACGGTAGATGCAGGGAGGCAGTTTAAAAACCAGGTCTCACCTGCCACTCCTTTCTGTGGAGGGCTTGAGCTTCCCATAGACAAAGGCTGCTCCGGCATCCCACAGACCAGTCTCTGTCTGCGGCAAGCCCAGGCCCACCACAAACAGAGGCTGCCACCACCCCATGCTACTGCCAGGAGTCCCTGGGAGTCCCACTATCTGCCTCCAGGGGGCACTGAGTAAATTCGTAGTGGTTACATAATTATTAAAATAACCAATTTCTAACTCCCTACTCTGGATGCTATAAGCACTTGAAATGACACTTTTGTTGGCTCTTGTGCAGTATGATTTCCCCTTCGCCTATTGCAAGTTTAGCTCTTGGAGTGATTTTCAGATTTGCACTACAAAAACACATCGGCTACGTCTAGATTGGCATGATTTTCCGCAAATGCTTTTAACGGAAAAGTTTTCCGTTAAAAGCATTTGCGGAAAACTTTTCCGCAAAAGCACTTTTTGCGGAAAAGCATCCGTGCCAATCTAGATACGCTTTTGCGCAAAAAAGCCCCGATCGCCAATTTCACGATCAGGGCTTTTTTGCGCAAAACAAATCTGAGCTGTCTACACTGGCCCTTTTGCGCAAAATGGGACTTTTGCCTGAATGGGAGCAGCATAGTATTTTCACAAGAAGCACTGATTTCTTACATGAGTTCGTCAGTAATTGCGGAAATTCAAGCAGCCAGTGTAGACAGCTGGCAAGTTTTTCCGCAAAAGCAAGTGCTTTTGCGGAAAAACTTGCCAGTCTAGACACAGCCATGGGGTGAAATCTTGGCCCCATTGAAGTCAGTGGGAATTCTACCATCTTAAATAAAACATTGTCGAACATTGTACTTTTGGGTATGAAAATTACTAATATCTTGCTCTTGGTGTTATGGTCAGAAAAAGTTACCTTGAAATATCATATATATGGACTAAGTTATTCTATCAATAATAGCAATGTGTGAAGTCCTGGCTCTATTGACGTCAGTGGCCATTTTGGGAACTGAAGTCAATAGCAGCTCTGTCCATAGCCCTGTTTTTGCTTCGTTAAAGCATACTTTCTGTACATTCTTTACAATCTGTTTTATCTGTTCATTGTATCCCTTCCCTGTGGCAAACCTGCACTGAACAGCTATACCACATCTGCACAATGAGTTGCAACATCGCAGCTGAATTCTTATCTCATGCTTGTCCAACTAAGCCCTCCTGCACCTTTCTGGTGCCTCCCCGTTCCTTCACTGCCCCATCCTCCTTACTCTTTTTCTCCCCGGTGTCCATCCCCTCACCATCCTCGGCTTCAGTTCTCCTCATGCCCTGGCCTTAGCTACTCCCAGGGAGGGACCTTTGTGCTGGGAATGGAGCAGAGGCCACCCTGAGTGCTATTTTTAGTACCGTAGTATTGGTCCCCATGAGTGGCCCTGGCTCCAGCTGGAATAAAGCAGCTCCTCTAGACTCATCTCTGTCTACAGTGTCTTTGAGAAATTAACAAGTTAAGGATAGTTTTGATTGGGATATGTGACTCTTCTTAATAATTTATAATAACTAAAAAAAAACATGTAGAGGAATATATGTATATACAAATATATCAATTCCCTCTTGCTTCTTAAATTGTGTGCTGCTTGGAGTAGAAACAGTGGCTTTGTATTTGCACAACACCTAGCCCAATGCATTCCTGATCTTAATGAGGGACTCTGGGTGCTACTATCACATAAATGTAGAATTAAGATAATCGCTACTGTTATTAACTACAATGCATGCCAGCTGGACCCATGTAACTTCTAAATAAATAAAATTCAGCAAATTCTTCCTCTCCCTTCTTTTCTGTTCTGCTATGTCTCAAATTAATTCGCCTGTTCCCTCAAGCTTACTGAGTGTCCCCTTCTAACATGCCCCAATACACCCTCAACTCTCACCTCCACCTTGAACTCTCCAAAGCCAGTGCTTTTTGACCACCCTCTTCTTGTTCATAGCTCTCCTGAAAACTCATTTCTGCTATGAAGCTTGTAAGAAATACAGTCGGTTAAATTGCAGGGCCTTTGTCTCATTCATTCTAAAGACCTTTTACACAACCTTAAATAGAGGTAAATTGCATTTACACCCTCTTTCATATCCCTGAACACTAGTAAGATGGTATAAAGAGTCCTTAAGTGAGGGTCCAAAAATGTTATTAATGTAAATGTACTCACCAACAAGTATATTCAAACTATAGCAGATCTGACACACAATATAATTGTTGTAACCCTGCCTAATCTCACCACAATCCCACATATTGTTTTCCTCTTTCACACACCTGTATCTTGCCTTTTTTAAATTCTAGACTGTAATCCCTTTGAGGCAGGAACTTTCTGTTTGTTGAGAATGTCTCTCATACCCTTGGCCATGATAGAAACAATAAATAATAATTTTGTTGGTAAGCCATTATGTCCTGCTTTTTGTGATTATAGATAACACAGCCAGTATCCTAACCAGACGGAGGAGATTCAGTCGAACTATTCAAGATATCTACTACCTCCCAATTTTGATTTCTGATAGTGGAATCCCTTGTCTCAGCAGTAGCACCACTCTTACGATTAGGGTCTGTGCATGTGAGAGAGATGGGCGTATTCGGACCTGTCATGCCGAAGCTTTCCTTTCCTCAGCTGGTTTGAGCACAGGAGCCTTAATTGCAATTCTGCTCTGTGTCATTATTCTTCTGGGTAAGACACTTTCTTAGTTATATACTGATAATCCTTTATTAGCCATTAGAATGTGTCAGTAGCAACTTTTAATGTAATGTATTTCTGATTACTTGTGAAAAGAGGTAATTAGAAATATCAAGCTGTATTTCTATGTATAGGTTTTGCTAAAATGAATTGAAAAATGCCTTTAAAGCATACTGATGAAAAACTGGCATCCTGTGAAATGAAATTTTCAGAGGGCAATGAGTAATTAGCATTGCAAATTCTCCCAGGTAATTTGGAGAGTCTCTAGAACAACTGGAAAAGTGAGAAAGAAGAGAAAAAGATTTTTGAATTGCATTATTCTGTAAGAAGCACTATCAATATTATACAAATGCCACTTTCTAAACATCTCTGTGGGATGAGTTGCTAAATGCACAGCATAATCAAGAGGGGCAGAGGACACATTAAATGATAAAACTATTCCATTAGATAAACAACTGTTCCTCAGATATGCATTCTCTCTACTTGGCCAGACCAATTTTAATTTACCCCTTACTTAATATGCTCATTTGGCAGAGATACAACTTTACAAGTTGAACCTCCCAAATCCAGGACTCTGATCCAGCAACATCTGTGGTCTGGCAGGGCCATGGATGTTGTTGGACCAAAGAGCCCCAAAGACCGGAGAAATACAGGGGCTGGGAAGCTCCGGCTGGGCCAAATGGCATCTGGGAGTCCCTGCCCTGGTGGGAAACCCCCAGAGTTAGTGAGGCCCAGGTGCCTGGGAAGTCCCAGCCAGGTATCCTAGCAAACCCCTCATTGCAGAAGGACTGGCAGAAGTGGGCAGCTGGAATCTCCCACAGCTGCAGAGCCATCCCTAGCAGATGGGGGTCCTGGTTGGGAGGCTGAGCTGGGGAACCCCTGGAAGCAGTAAGGCCAGCAGTGGCCATGTGGCCTTAGCTAGGAACTCTGGTGAACACCCTGCCACAGTGGGGCTGGCAGCAGCCAAGCAGCCCCCACCAGGAACCCCAAAAGAACCTGGGGCAGCGGGTGGGCAGCAGGGTGGGGAGCTATGCTGGGACAGTGTTAGGGGGGGCAGCAGCAGGGCAGGAAGCCCAAAGAGAGGGGCCTGGGAGCAGGGCAGTCATCAGGGGAGCACTGACTTCCCCTGGTCCGGCAAGCTCAGGTCCTGAAGGTGACGAACCAGGGAGGTCTGACATGTAATATCCATGGCTATGTCTACACTGGCGGGTTATTGCGCAAGAAGGGCCGTTCTTCCGCAGAGTGTCCACACTGCCCACTCGCTCTTGCGCAAGATTTACAGTAAAGTATAGTAAGAGAGGGCTTCTTGAGCAAGAGCTATGCTCTTTTCTAACAGGTGTAAGTCCTCTTGCGCAAGAACTCTTGCACAAGAGGACAGTGTGGACATGTGACAGGGGTTTCTTGTGCAAGAAAGCCCTATGGCTAAAATGGCCATCAGAGCTTTCTTGCGCAAGAGAGTGTCCACACTGCCATGTATGCTCTTTTGCAAAAGCACATCTCTCACATGGCAGTGTGGATGTGTTCTTGCACAAGAGTTCTTGCACAAGAACTCTGGCACAAGATGTTCTTGCGCAAGAAGCTGCCAGTGTAAACATAGCCCATGTGTTTTCATGCAAAGAATGTTTGAAACAATTGGATTTTTGGTGTGACCCACATACATCTTTTTAATCAATTAAGGCTTATCTTGAAAGCCTGTGCTCTTTCTGCTGATTTGTTTTGCTACTGCTTAACTCAGTTATTTCCTCAGTTTCAGAGTAAAACTTTAAAACATACAGAACTGCTATTATCAACATGAAAGTAGTAATATGTGCAAATACATTACCATGTAAATGAAAGAGCATTTTGGGTTTTTTTCCAAAGGGAAAAACTAAAACCTTGCATATTTTAATTTGCTAGCTAACTGATTATTTACTTTAGTAGGAACTAGGCATCCAGATCCTTTATGCAGTGTTGAAATATATCATCTTTTCAGTATTAGGAGAAGATTTTCAACACAGGAATTAGGCACCCAGACCTCATTGGTTAATAATAGGATGACACTTAACTGCCCTTTGTGCCATTGGAAATTTCCCTGTTTGTCATTTTAGTGCCTGCTTGCTATATTCTGGCAGACTGCTGTGTCAATGTAGAGCTTCTTTGGAAGAGGGACTCCACATGAGTACAGCAGACTGCCTGCATGTGACCACTTGCAGAATCAGGGCCTTATTGACAATGGAGCCTGTTTCTCCATTACTGCATGGGAGATAAACAGGGCTGTGTCTAGACTGGCCAGTTTTTCCAGAAAATCAGCCACTTTTCCGGAAAAACTTGCCAGCTGTCTACACTGGCCGCTTGAATTTCCGCAAAAGCACTGGCTTCCTACTGTAAGAAATCAGTGCTTTTTGCAGAAATACTATGCTGCTCCCATTCGGGCAAAAGTCCCTTTTGTGCAAAACTTTTGCACAAAAGGGCCAGTGTAGACTGCTGAGATTTGTTTTCCGCAAAAAAGCCCCAATCGCGAAAATGGCGATCAGGGCTTCTTTGCACAAAAGCGCATCTAGATTGGATACGGACGCTTTTCCGTAAAAAGCGCTTTTGCGGAAAAGCATCCGTGCCAATCTAGACGCTCTGTTCCGAAAATGCTTTTAACAGAAAACTTTTCCATTAAAAGCATTTCCGAAAAATCATGCCAGTCTAGATGTAGCCTAGCTGTACTCACAAATCTGCTAGTTTATGTGTATTACATATTCTTCCAGGCTGTGTCTACACTGGTGCAATCTTGTGCAAAAGCAGACGCTCTTGCGCATAAACTAACTGCATGTCTACACTGGCCGCGTGTTCTTGAGCAAGTAAACTGACATTCTAATGTATGAAATCAGGACTTCTTGCGCCAGAACTCTGATGCTCCCACTCAGGAATAAGCACTTTTGAGCAACTGTTCTTGCGCAAGAGGCCAGTGTAGACAGGCAACAGGAATTTCTTGCGCAAGAAAGCCCTATGGTTAAAATGGCCATCAGAGCTTTCTTGCGCAAGAGAGTGTCTACACTGGCATGGATGCTCTTGAGCAAAAGCACATCTCTTGTGCAAAAGCACATGCCAGTGTAGACGCTCTCTTCTGGAAGAGTTTTTACACAAGCATTCTTCCGCAAAAGAGTTCTTGCACAAGAAGCTGCCAGAGTAGATGTAGCCCCAGTGTTTTACATTATGTGTGTCCAGTTTTATGACACAAAGGAACAGAAAATCCATGTTCAGACAATCATGGGTTCATAATGGGAAGTGGAAATTTGAAAAATATGTGTTAAGCAGTGAAATGTTGAGTGGCATAGGAAGGAGTAAGGTTGTAACTAAAGCGAGGTATTTCATTAAATGTGGTCTGAAGTTTACTTGTCCTGAGTAGCCACAATTTTCAATAAAGTTCTGCACCTCTGATAATCAGGATGCTTTTATTTAATTGCTTATGGTGGGTTTTAGTGTTTTTCAGCAGATGTAAATTGGCACAGCTCAACTGGACACCAACTCTATCTCAGCTGCAAATCTGTTCCTGGTGCCCAACTTTAGACATCAAAATTTGAAAATGTTGGCCATCATAACTCAGTTGAAGCCCAACATAATGAAGAACCCAAATAGTAGTCCACAAATGTCTCATCAAATTTTATATGAGATTTTGCATTTGTGACCCCCGTAAAAGAGATATTAATTGTTTTATGTGTAACGTCTGAAAACCTAACCTGATATCTTCAATTTTTTATTTAGCAATTGTGGTCCTTTTCATTACATTAAGACGCAGCAAAAAGGAGCCTCTGATAATTTCCGAGGAGGATGTCAGGGAAAACATTGTCACCTATGATGACGAGGGTGGTGGAGAAGAGGATACTGAAGCGTTTGACATCATAGCTCTGCGGAACCCATCAGCTGCTGAAGAGCTGAAGTATCGGAGGGATGTGCGTCCTGAGGTGAAGCGCACACCCAGGCACCAGCCTTCTTCCAACCTGAACAGTATAGATGTTCATGAATTTATTAAACAAAGATTGACAGAGGCAGATCTTGATTCCAGCGTGCCTCCCTATGACTCCCTACAAACATATGCATATGAGGGTCAGAGATCAGAAGCTGGATCTATCAGCTCTCTCGATTCAGTCACTACACACTCTGACCAGGATTATAATTACCTTGGTGACTGGGGACCAGAATTTAAGAAGTTAGCTGAACTCTATGGAGAAATAGAATCAGAAAGAACAACTTAGTTAACATTCCTGGAAGCAGAAGTGTTTTAGCTCCCAAACTGGAGAGAGAATCAGAGCAGCGGTAACAATACATGAATATAGTACTTGGAACTGAGCAAGTTGTACACAGTTACTGTAGAAACAAATGCCCTTTTCATATTTGAAACTGGGTTAGTAAACTGGAAGGAAGTCAAATTTTAAACACAGAAAAAAAAATAAACTATTGTCCTTTGTGTATATTTTAATTGCTCAATAAAGTCTGTGATACCATATCCATAACAGTACCTAAAATAAATGAAGTAATGACATTTTTATTGCAATATATTTAAACATACCAGAACAACAGTATTTCCGGTTTGTGAAGGTAGTTCACTGGAGAGCTAATCTTTTGCAGGAAGTTTTGACATTTCCTTTGTAGCTCTGCTATAGGCTTGTGTAAGCAGGGGCTGAACTGCTGCTTGCTGTCAGCCAGCTGAAAGGAGGGGTGGGTGTGCCCACTACAGTTGTTTAGCTCTACAAGGTAATTAATTGTTAACTGTTGACATGTAAATACTGCTCAGGAGAGAATCCAAGGTGTGGCTATGTAAATCCCATTCAGCCAGGGCTGATGGAGGGTCAGTGTTGGAATGGAATGTGGAGAATTGTATATAATTTGGGACTGTTGTGGGGGTCACTAATCATGCTACCCCTAAATGTGGGAACTGTCAAACATGCCACCAGTGCTTGCAGGAGAGACACCACCATCATGGTAAGAGGCCTCGGAAGAACAAGCCTCCCCCCTTCCAGAGTTGAGAGAACAGAGCTGGGGGAAAGGGTTAAAAGGTTTGAATCAGCCTGCTCCAGACCTGCCAGGTGTGAGCTATAAGACTGGCCCAGCCTGCACCTTTCCCCCTTTGTTTTAAGGACAGACCTAAAGCAGACTCCCTGAGGAGTCTTTTTGTTTGCTAGTCCAGTGAAAGCTGGATTCATTTGAGAGCTGAAATCACTGGTTTGGCTGAGAGTTGAAATCACTAAGCTGAAATCATTGGTTTGGCTGAGAGCCAGACCTACTGCAGCCAGTAGAGTGGCAGCAGGCGAGGAGCGGCGACTAGCGGCGTGGCGCGGCGGCAGGGGAAGAGCAGCCATCAGCGGCGGGGGGGGGGGCGGCGGGCGGGGGGGGGGGGGCCACAGGTGCCCAGCGGAGCGTCCAGAGGGGTGGGACGAGACAGCTGGTGAAGCGTAGCGGAGTTTCGTATAAGGTGCCCCCTATCTATCTCCCCACCCCCATTTCTACCCAGGTTGGGAGGTGAAACCCTGCAGGTGAACTTTGGGACTCTGGGTGGCACAGAGACTTGTGGGGACAGAGACTTTTCGGGAGTCGGTGGACTTCGGGCGAATCTTGGCCGGGGTGGGGGCTCAAGTTTGGGTTATGAACTCTGTTTGTGGTGTTTTCCCCAAGCTAATGCCGTATGAATTCTTCCTCTGTTTCATTAAATGTTCTTTTCCTACACTCAGACTCAGTGCTTGCGAGTGGGGAAGCATTGCCTCTCAGAGGCGCCCAGGGGTGCGTGAATTTCCCAGATCACTGGGTGGGGGCTCGAGCCGGTTCTTTGTGAGATTGACCCCAAGATATTGAACCCAGCCCTGGTTCCTGCCAGGCCTACCCGGCAGAAGGGCTACACTTGGGATCCCAAACTGAGGTAACCAATGAGGATCTTTACTGCTGTGACAAACACCAATAATCCATTCCTTTACAGAAAGGATCCATTAGAACTCAAATGGCCCTTTGGTGAGCACCTAAATAACATTACACTGGATCTTATTGAATCACCAGACAGCAGTTTCATTGTACCCTCTCCAATCTATTCCTCCATAAAAAGCTAATGAAGTTAGGGCATATCTACTCTAGGAAATTATTTTTCGAAATAACTAAATGCAACATCATAACTCCTGAAATAACAAAATTGAAATATTGTGTCCCCTCTACGGGGGGAGTCTCAAAATTAGTCTGAGATAGTCTCTGCTAATTACCTCAACTTTGAGCCCTAGAAAGCACTGGGAAGTAATTACTTCAAATTACTCTGGGGAGTAGTTGTTTCAAAATGGCACCGGAGTGTCCACACTAATGCTTATTTTAAATAACTATTTCAAAATAAGTGTTGTTCCCCAAGGAAAGCAGGAGTACAGATTTTTATATAACCAGTTTGTTATTTCAAAATAATGGGCTTGGTAGTGTGGACACTCTGCTCATTATTTTGAAAGAAATCTTTACTGTAGACCAGGGCCTAAGGGGCTACATGCTGCCTACACAAATATGCTTGCAGCCCATAGTCACAAAATCTGCACTGTTACTGAATGGTACAGAAGCTGTTGCTTCCATTATCTGTTTCTTTATGTTGCAACCTTTCAACAAGAGCCATGTTCATCTAAATGGAATGGTATGAAATATTCTTTTTGCAGTGTAGCAGATGAAGCATATAGGCTGTCTTAGTTAAAAGAACCAGGCAGTATATTTTAACATATGCAGCGGTATACATCCTTGGGAGTCAATGAGTGAAGCTAACTAGGCTTATGTTATTCTGTGTCCAGAGGCTCCATTGGTCAATTTGTGATTTGTGATGTGAAGGATCTCCTAAGTTACGTTTATTTTGCATGTGTTACCAAAAGAAAAATGGTATGGTGTTATTTGACAGCAAGAAGTTTGAGACAATGCTACTGTGGTTTTTTAAAATTATAGTTAAATTAATTATTAATGCCTAAAATGCTGATGGACTCTAGCTATATTTCCCTCCAAGCACAGCAAACTTTTTTTTTTTTACTAATTTAAAGTCTGATGGCTACACAAGTCTATTAGAATCAGTAGAGCTAGAAAAGAATTGTAATTAGAAGTGATGTTATTGGGGTATCTTTAAACTGAGTAAATCAAGATATTCAATTTCTAATGGTTTCTTATTGTAAAATTTGTTTTTTAAGCAGTTTAACACTTAATTCAACCATCCACAATTTTTTCGATGGCTAGTGGTTTTAAAGTAAGTTTCTTTTGCTATTCATCTTTCTCACAGTCAGCCTATAAAAGGACCATGATCATGATTAATGATGTTTAAGGTATAGCCCAGCATTAGGAGCAGTGTGGAGCTGCATAGCATAGAGATGGACTTCCTACCCAAGCAGGAGTGGCAGATGTGCCCTAGAAGTAGGGGGCCAGAGGTACCTGAACCATGGCCCCATCTCTGGTGCCCTGCCATCCCCGCACCACCCTTGCGCCACTCGTTCTCCCTGAGCAAGGGCTAGTAGACAAATGAGCAGGACGCTTACACACTTTGGCTATGTCTACACTACAAAACTCCACTGTGTCCAGTGAACACATCTGCTCTTCTGACATGTTTTTTGGAAGAGCAGACACGCTTTTTTCCGAAAGAAGAGGGTTTTCTGACATGTGGCCCCATATAGATAGGCCAAATGTCGGAAAAGCCTCTTCTGAAAAAAGAATTGGAAAAAGGTACGCAAATCGTGGTTCGTAATTTTCATACCTTTTTCCAAAAAAAACCCAGCAGTCTAGACATAGCCTTTGAAAGAGACCTGAAGAAAGACTCTGTGTAAGTTCAAAAGCTTGTCTCTCTCACCAACAGCTGGTGAACCAATAAAATATCTTACTCACTTTGGGTATGTCTACACTACAAAGTTAGTTCGAACTAACGGACGTTAGTTCGAACTAACTTTAATAAGCGCTACACTAGCGCTCTGCTAGTTCGAATTTGAATCGAACTAGCGGAGCGCTTAGTTCGAACTAGGTAAACCTCATTTTACGAGGACTAACGCCTAGTTCGAACTAGCTAGTTCGAACTAGGCGTTAGTCCTCGTAAAATGAGGTTTACCTAGTTCGAACTAAGCGCTCCGCTAGTTCGATTCAAATTCGAACTAGCGGAGCGCTAGTGTAGCACCTATTAAAGTTAGTGCGAACTAACGTCCGTTAGTTCGAACTAACTTTGTAGTGTAGACATACCCAGAG